CCAAAGCTCGTGCAGCTTCCAACTGGCCTCCATACACAGCTTCATGTAGAGCCGAGTCCCAATCGTCGTCGTGGGCATTGATATCTGCATGATTCTGTAGCAGCAACTTGATCACTTCCACGTGTCCATTCTGTGCCGCTGCTGCCAAGGCCGTCATTTCTGGACACTCACTTCTGTCCATTCTGGCGCCATGACTCAGCAGAAAACGAACGGCTTCGACGTGGCCTCCTTCAGCGGCAATAGTCAACACTGTGTTGCCGTCTTTTGACGTCTTGTTTGGCAACGCACCGTTCGATAGCAACAGTCTCATCACCTCCACTTGGTTTTTCGTAGCTGCGAACATGAGCGGAGTTCGTCCAGCTCCGCTGCTTAGATCAACTGGTACGCCTGCATCTAGAAACATTCTAACAGCTTCAACTTGACCAGCTTGAGCTGCGATGGCAAGCACGTTGGAGCCGTCCTGGGATGCAGTACGCACGGACTGCGGTGCTACTTTGACCAATAGTTTGATCAATTTAGAGAGACCATTTTCCGCGGCCAGTAATAGTGGTGTCACGCCGGCGTTAGTGGCAATAGCAGCGTCCGCGTCAAAGTCGATCAATAATTTGGCAGCGCGAGGATGTTGACTGGCAATCGCCAAGTGCAGCGCCGTCGTGCCGTCCGAGCGTCTCAAGTCCACGTCGACGCCACTAACCAGCTGGAGTGTCATCACTTCAACGTGGTTCTTCTTCGCTGCCACCATCAAAGCCGAGTCCCCCTGGCTGTTTACTGCATTTAGATCGCAGCCACTGGAGAGTGTGCGACGCACGAGGCGCATGTCGCCCGTGGCAGCAGCAGCGACCAAAGCCATGATTTCAGAGCTGGTTGTGTAAAAAATAACTTAAGCTAAAACGAAAATTTACTCAGAACAAATCTCAGCGTAAAAATGTGGAAACACTGAAAAAATTACTGATACGCACTGTACAGTAGAATTAACGGCATATTCGGATCAGGAATAGTGTATACATGTCCACTCCCGGGATGGAATCCCGGAGCTATTCCGGGGCATACATACATGTACAAACTCTAGCAAATGCAAACCACCTGCTAGTGTAAATTTTTTGGGGGCAGCTGGTATGCACATGCCAGAGTTTGTATGTCCCGGAATAGCTCCGGGATTCCATCCTGGGAGTGGATGTGTATACATTATGCCGGATTTGGGCAGTGTGAACCGGCCCATTGTATACTAACTTTGTTTCAGTACAGGTATGTGCATTTTGCATTTGATCATTTGCAACGCTACTAAAATATGCAACTAGAACAAACAATTGGTTAATTGCGTAAGGGGGAGGTCGGAGTACAAAAAGAGCAAAAAATTAAATAGCTTTCTTGGACCTGATTGGCCGACTGATTTTCGGTTATCTCTTAAAAAAAAGACCACAGGTTGGTCTTTTAAAGAAAGAGATCACACATGAAGGGGAGGAAAAAATTGGCTGCGCTCTCCCTTGTATTTGCTGCAAAGGCTACTCTTGCCAGTGACAAGCGTCGATGGCCCAGGAAACCTTCCCGACGCTTCTCCGTACGGAACACATCATGGCAGCGAGTTCTAGATGACCCCATATTTGCAGACGGCTGGTTTCCAGTGAATTTTCGGTGCAATCGCGCAACTTTCCTGGCTATTGTATCCCGTATCGAGCAGAGATGGCCGAGCGTACGCCCAGCCCCTCGCCATAACGCACATTTTCCTATTAGAGATCGAGTGGCGGTGGCCTTTTATTATGTCACTCACGGCGGCAGTGCATACGCGGCTGGACAGATTGTTAGCGCTGGCAAAACGCAAGCACTACTTTTTATTCGCCAAGTTGTTCATGTGGTGACATCGTTTTCGTCAGAGACTATTCGATTACCGTCCACGGACGACGAGATAGCGGAGGTGATACAAGGGTTTCAA